ATCTCCGAAACGTCGTTTTACGTTTTTATATTTACTAGACGATGGATAATATCCAAGAAAATTGTTATTCAATTGACTCTTCACCATCGTCAAGAAGTTTTAGATCTGAAATACAATCTTATCTTGTTTCTTCTTGCTGGCTAACTTATCATCCCGTGTAATCGATTCAGTCTCTCTGGTTCATTGTCACTTCGAAAAATATTTATTTCCCACGTTTGTCCTGTCCTGTTATAATACTAACGAGGCTTGACACAACTTAGAGCGTCGGCATGTCGAAATCCGGGCGAGTCACATCAACACACAGATCCTGTATCCCCTATTAGCAACATAAAGTCTGGGCAACAGCGTGCTAACAAGCAAAATTACGAGTGTCAACAGCTCCTAGTCCACTGGTTCCTTTTCAGAAAAGCAGGCCACTAAACCGACAACCAACCATAGGAATCCAGGGTTACGGGTGAGGTTCAAAGACTTGGTTCACACCCCGAAAGCATAACTGTGCGTGTCAGGACTTTGAAGTGGGTGACGAAAGATGAAGATAAACCAAACGATTGTCATTTTACGTTACCTGTATTTTTTTTCTTCAGGAAACCATAACTCCACGGAAACGGACTTCTTCCTGATGACTTGATCTGAGGTCATCTCTGTCATAAAAGCAGTCACCACTTTCAGATTTTCCATCGGTTATCCAAGTGTCTTCAAACGCTGTAAATGACACCAAAATATGAAGAAGAAAAACCCCCGTAAGAAATCGATCAGCTTCAGAGGATGGGAATGGAATATGACAGAAATAATAATCGTTTCATTTTTATTTAGCGGGGTTATTATTTTCCACGTCATCGCCCTTACAATGAAGGCAGTAAGCGCGTCCGAAAAGTCAGTAAACTTCTACCAGACTACACAGCAAAACTTCCAGGCAACAGCCATCTTCTAATAGAATCTCGAACACTGCCAAAATTAAATTTTATTTGTAAGACAAACTGTGATTGCTGAATGTCAATGCTATTTGTAATAGAACCAGAGCATAAACAAGTAGGACCGAACTCCAAACAGAGGAGGGGACAATGGTGGGGGGGTTAAGAGAGAGTTGGGCATGAGGTCATATAAGCTTCTTGTGCCTCTTAAGATGGAACCATTCATGTGCAAGGATTAGTGGCTTTGTGATGGGGTATGTTGATTGACGTGTTCTCTGCAGTAAATCCAGGTATGTGTAACATGACATAGATCAACTCCCAGACATGTTTTCATCTGTCCCTCTACTTGTAATCTAAAATAAAACCTTATCATAATCAATTTAAAGTAAAAAAAAATATATGCATTTGGGCTGTGTCAATAATAGAAGCCTTGGTAATTCATGCAAGTACTTGGGAGACAATGAACAGAACTGTAGAAAGTGGACAAGTATCATATTCTCATCTCATAAGCTGAACAGTTTAAATCGGGAAGTATTTATCATGTCCAACTTATGTACAATTATTTAACAGATAGAATACTCTTAAATTAAAATTAATTATTTGGTTATTCCATCAAATTCACAATGTATTTAAAATAAGATAACATCAAAAGCATCACTTCAAACAATAAAGTTGATCCATTATAAGAAAATATCTGGACACGACCTCCAAAAAAACTACACTACGAAAAATTGTAAAAAAAAATTGTAATTGAGTTTTAAATTTAATATAATTTTACACCTGATGATGGTTTAATAAAACCGAAACATGTTGTAACTGTTCCAATTGTAAATCGATTATTCGATACGGAACACAGAATGATATTTTAATTATTTTAATTATCTTATTTTAAATACATTGTGATTTGACGGAATAACTAAATAATTAATTTTAATTTAATAAATCACAATATGACACAACTACACTATCTTAAGAATACTCTTAATTACATCTAAATAAGTGCGACTCTGTTATCGCTCTTCAGAAAGAGTAAAAGTCCTATAAAATGAAAACATAAGGAAGACAGAAATTCCTAACCTTCGTACAGGGAGGTAAGTGGTCAGCTCTACACCTCGACCACTGAACTAGCTATTGCTACATAAATTTATTTTTATTAAAAATCTTTAGCATCAACACCACATTATTACATATAATTACTGAGACCTTTCTCTCCAGATAAAAGCACTGCTTTAACACTTTTACTCTTACAAAATAAAACATGTAAATCTGCTGTGAGTTAGCCAATATTCATCTCATTCTAAGATACTGGATGTCAATGCAACATTTCGTCCTGGCTCGTGTAAAGTATGTTATTTCCCTACTTTTGGAACTTTTGTACCTGAAACATCAATTTCTTTCATTTTCATTCTTTACTGTGGCATATCTTTATATACAAAATCATTATTGCAGTACACAGTATTGTCCTATCTTCAGCAGACTGACTACTATCCAATATGAAAGGTGTTATTCTGTGGTCAATACTCGTAACTGCTGTCATTGCAACAGAAAATGAAAATGGCATACAAGATACAGAAAAAAAAGGGCCTGGATGTAAGTATAATTTTTATATAATGTAACCAGTGTTTTTTTATTTTCAGTCTTTCTCCCACACAGCTCATATTTAAAAAATAAACTAGAACAATCCCATTAGAGCATCTCTCTAAAATATAAATAGATTAAGATCAACTATCAGGAATTTCCCAACAAAATAAGTCAAACTTATTTTCAGTCTTAATTTTAACAGCTCACATCTAAAATTAAAAGAAAACATAACCAACAGAATTTTACGGCGGGTAATGATAACATCACAACTAAACACAAAAACTAAGGTCACAAAATAAGGTCACAATCTGAACTCGTACAGAACTTCAGCCGGCTATAGAATTCATCAACTGAGCCTCACTAGCGACTAATAGACATGAGCAGTTAGCAAACGTTTTATAAATAATAAAGTAGTCCTACTGTCTCTTTCAGTCATTTATTACATTGTTAATCCACATGAGAAAAACTAACATCAATATAATCAACATCATTACCACCATCATCAATAGGTGTCATCCTTCTCAGTCTGACGTCAACAACCCATTTAGAAAACTTCATATATGAAATGAAAAAGATTTCCTGCAGAGATAGCATTACGTGAGAACCTCAAGTCTTACAAAATTTACAGGCTTGGGATAAAGTTGAAAAATGTATTGATTTTACAGAGAAATTACATTTTTAACAGTAATAATAATAAATAATTGTTGTTAAAGCAATAGGAACAACAGAAGCAGTATATGAGGTATATACTTTGATGATGATGGATCTGATGTGAAGTCACCTATCTCCTCACTGCCCCCCCCCCCCCCAAACACATACATACAGGGTTAAATACCACCACTACATACTGATATATTGTTGTGATAACCAAAATAATACTGTCTAAATTATTTTCCAAAGGATGTTGTTTTGGAGTAATGCTGATCGTGTTTAATTTTCATACATCTCACTTGTAGCACTGATCTGTCCACAGTTTACTACCACTACGATCTTGCCGTTCTGGCAGCTATACTTATCATCAAATTTAAAGCAGTTCTCATAGCACTGGCCGTCATCTTTGGAATAGGAGCATACTCCAAGCTGTTTGCAGGACATGGGATCCACTACAAGGGGCTCAAATGTCAGCCACCTGTTGTGTATGAGCCACCACCTAAGTATGACTATGAGCATGAATCATATGGGCATTCTGAAAGACGTGATCGAGCCAACGACTTTACAAGATACTCTGAAAATATTGACTTTGAACTGCTAACAAGTGTGATGAAGGGGTAGGTTAATAAAACAAATTCCATAGTATAGAATCTTCCTTCAGAAGTCTGGTATTTAATTTTTCCCATGCATATTACACGTTCCATCCACTTAGCATTGTGTTTAGTTACCCTAACAATATTAGGTGTAGAACACAAATTAAAAAGCTCCTCATCTCAATTCTTTTACCACTTATTCTGTCTTGATTCCAAGTATTAATTTCAGAATTTTGTAAATTATATCTGAGAAGTGGGGTGAAAATGTCAGTTGTGGTCTTCTGGGTTGTGACACCATGTGGCCTTGTACGAAATTATCAATGTTTTTTTCCTGATTTGCTTCTCAGAATTGGCCTTGAGGAATTAAGTTTCAATGTCGCAGACAAAAGAAGTGTACCCTGCAGGAGACGACTTGTCTGTGAAGCAGACAGGTTGGCCAGTACAAAGCCTGTGGTGCGTTATGCCATCGACCTTTTAAGGTATATTCATTCCTCTGTCTATTGCAATACAAAGAACTATTTAAAAACTTCAATAGTTATTACACTTCTTTCAAAACTGCACTGCAATTAAAATTTCCACATTTTCAACAGAAGACATTCTTTTACTTTATATTTTCATGATAACTTATAAATTCACTTTGTGGGGTATTGAAAATGGTTAATTTAAAGCAGTGGTTCTCAACCAGTGTTTCATGGCACACTAGTGTACTGTGAGCTTTTTTGAAGTGTACATAGATTCTCCATGCTGAGAATTAAACAGTGATGGTCCAGCCCATGATCATTACTGGGCAAATTTGGAAGGATGTGACAGCAAGGAGATAGTTGTCTACTTTAAGCTACTATCCCAACATCTGATTGGAGAACTAAAAAACCTCAACCACAACAGGCAACCACTGGTCCAAGAATTGATCTTCAGATCCCCCAAATTTTAACGTTCAGTCAGAAAAGAATAAAAGCTGTAGCATTCATATTTAAATTCTGTTGTGTTCAATATTGCCCTTGTATTTATTTATTTATTTATTCCAGAGGGCTGTCAAGGTACAGAACCATAAGACCAACAAATCAAACAGACTACAGCTGTGCTGCACTCTACCCACGATGCATCAGCAGTAGAGGGAGCCAACGCCATTTATTAAAGAAATCTCAAAAATCATCAGGACTAAATTTACAATTTAGAAGACAATAATGGACATTAATTAACTTATTTATCATATTTATTAAATTATTTTGAACACCATAAATGACTGTTTCACTGCAAAATGAATCCCACTTTTGTGAGTCATAAACCAGAAACCTGTTTTCTAAGTATCCTTTCTTTCTGCATTCACATCCAAACAGGTCCAGCATAAGTAGTTCTAAGACTGTACTTTCATACTTATGTGGATACAAATGAATAAATCAAAATATTTTAGGAAATATGTGAGAACTTAAGATCCATAATGTAGCAGAAGAGGTTATTCACGTAGGAAGGGCTGCAACAACCACATAAAAATGGTAAAGACATGTGGGTGAAGGCAGCACCGAGTCATAAATCAACAGAACTAAGAATAAGAGAAACAACAAAGACGACGGTAACAGAATTTTGAGGCCACTACAGGCATTATATAGCCTGACACTATAAGATTCTGTGAATTACAAATTGGACCTAACAAAAATTAATTTTGTACAGAATTTCAGTTTCACTTCAGTGTTTACAAAAGTATTTCATACTATTCTTCTCTTTTCCTTTTATTTCTCACTTTAAAATCTTATCTGAATAAAACAGCTTCAACTGCAGATATAACACAGCTTAGAATGAGATGGGAATATTAAAATGAACAATGACAAGTTAATGGTTTAGGAACAGAAAGTCACACCTATTTAATGGCTTTATGTAAATGTTTAATGATTTTACTTAAATGTTGTTTGGTAAGACTAAACAAAATCATTAAAATCAAGAATAGTTAGTAACATGATTGAAATATGAACCAAGCTGAAGCAGAACCTCTCGAATAAAATTCTCAGTTTTGAATGCACTTAATGAAAACAATAATACATAATGGTCAAGTGTAATAAAATGTGTGGCACAATAATTAAACTTGTAAGCATTACTGCTAAACACACATATTTTAACACTTTCTTACTCATTACTAAAACATACTAAAACAAATATTAAACAGCAGAGAGAGAGACAATTACATGCAACAAGTTCATGGGCAACTTACCCCACTTCTGTCCTTTGTACAAACAATTTGGTGCCAATGTAGTGATGTAGCACAAATCATAACTGGGGTCAGAGGGCCAGAAGCAAATGTTGGTCACTGGAACAAACGTGTGCTGATACACATGATCCACAAAAACCTACATAATCCTGACCAGCAGCTCCATCCATAAGGTCAGTCAACAAACCATGCTCCACTGCTGAGTACTGCTAACCACTCCTAAGTCATATTAATTGGAAGTCCCAAGCTTCAATCCCGACCCACACACTGCTTAATCCAAGTGTGAGATTTCAGGTTCTCATGGCAGTGAAGATGTTAATGTTGGTCTTCTGATTGTGATGTCACAAGCACATTATTCAGAAACTTGTGACACCATCTTCTCTCTCTCTCTCTCTCTCTAACACTCCTCATCGCTAGTTTCAGAATCATGTCAGAGACGGGATGGGAGGCAGTGCAACACTCAGTGTTGTTTTGGCAGTGTCCCATCTAATGGCATCTCAGTGATCATCATCAATCTTTCTGACAAATTCACCTCAACACTGATTACTCTCCCAGAGTCTGCTTTAATTACTGACACAATGTCATGTAAGCCATGATCTATTCAAAGCCAGTTCCAAAAACTGAAATTTCATATTTCTCAGGATTCAAAGAGTTTTATTTACATGTGATGCTGCTCTCTTCAATGGCTCTTCAGCCACTAACTTTGCAGCTTCTTCAATCATGTTATCATAAGGAACATGGTTTGCTTTATGGGTAGTGGAACATATGTATAAATATGTAAAACATTTCTAAATTGCACACACCCTACCTTTTCTAACAGTTGGGCAACTCTGTAACTCACTACTGTTCCCAGTTTTTACAACTGATAACTAACACTGCTTATCAACCCTAACACTTCAGAAATGACACCTCACCCAGACACAATTAACGACATAAATTATCATATATACCTATAATCCCAATCAAATCTACAATATGGTATCCTCCTTTATTTTCGGTAATTTTGGGGGTGCATTAGGAACTACTGGTTACTAATGGTTCCCTTCAGTTGTCAGTCCTAACCTCTACAACAAATTTTTAACTTATTAACTTGTAATTGTTCCAGAATGTTCTGACTCGTTTCCAGTTTCCGAAAAAAATTGCCTTCTCGTATCTTGTTACACTTCCATTGATACCCAATACAAATCACTAAAACTCGCATAACACGTGTATGTCGACAAAAACACTCAATCTAAAGACAACCCCAGAATACCAACGTATCGGACGAAGTGCACCCTATCATCAAAATATGGAATCATTACACAAGTAAGCACGGAATTAAAATTAAATCAGATGGTAATAAAATATTCTAATCGAAAGGCCAGCAATCAATGAAGACATCACGTGTTGAAACATATTTTTTTCCACTTAACAACATAAATAATTATATAATGTCTTCAACATGGTGTCCTGAGGACTAATTCAAATATGTGTCTAAAACATAACAGGAAGATGAAGGTATCGTTCAAGTATATATACAGAGTCAGAGAAAGATCTTCATGTACTCGCTTCGGCGGTACATATACTAAAATTGGAACGATACAGAGAAGATTAGCATGGCCCCTGCGCAAGGATGACACGCAAAATCGTGAAGCGTTCCACATTTTTTTACGTTCCTATTGCGTTGCACCGCAGGTGGAGGGGAATTCCTCTACAACCCATTCTAAAAAAAAACAACTAATACTTGAATGGGGATTTTCATACAAAATATAAAATAATGTGTTGTGACAATGCAACAGTTAGATTTAAGAAATTCACATTGTTTAACTTTTAACTGCCATGCAGAGTGATGGTCTTTTATATTTGTTATGTAAATGCTGTATTTTGAAGGTCAATCATGTACATGCATCATCCACATCATGGCATCAACTGCTTCAATTTTGTAATCTGTGTTACATATATTATGTTTATGAAATCTGCAGTGTATGCAAATAATAGGGCAAACCAAAAGGCTCCCAACATACAGAACAACGCTATGGAAACTGTTATCTATATATTTTATTTCTTTAGCAGACACACATGTTGGAAACCTCTTGCACAAAAAACAGAGATTCTCCTCACTATCTTCACTTTTTACAGTGTCTTACAGGCTTTGTACTAAGCCACTTTATGTTTATGAATTATTCCCTCTCTCAACCTACACATTTCATAGTGAATTAATATGTAAGCATTTATTATATTTTCAGAGAGGATGATTCTAGAAAGTTCCTGCAGTTCACTTCCTTAAATTATAAAACCTATTTATCTATTATTATTATTATTATTTGTTTCAAACATTAAAACAATTTTTGACAACTTAATGTTACAAGATATTATTTTCTAAATATTCAACACAGAGCTTATTTGTTATATCTCATTAGGCCTACACAGAAAATCATGACAATGTTTACAGAAGAAGGTGAATCAGCTGATAAGATATGCTTGTAAGATTACATTACATTTATAATGCTGGAGTCAGTCTCCTGTCACCATGTTAAGTATTCTTTTGAATCAAGACTTCTACTTAAAATATTAAATATATATGGAAAGTGTAAATTTGTTACATACAATATCATGCATGTTTAAAATTACCTTACAAGATAAACATTGCAAGGCAAGTAAGTATTTGTTTTCAATTTAATCAACAGATAAATTGTTAGAAAAGTAAAATCATGTTGATGCCTTTCCTACATGTATTCTGAAGACTGATTCAACTTCTGCATGTTCTTTATTAGCATAAAATTTATAAAATTAGAATACAATGGTAAATGTGTCATTCTGTTCATCCATATGCCTTTACTCCAAAATTATTCAAAATACTTCAACAAAATTTCACAGGTTTCATTTTAATTCCAATAGATTTGGGTCAATATATACCTTACTTTAAACTTTAATCAGAATTCATCAGTTTGTTTAGAAATATCTCAGTGCTATTGGAATTCAGGTAAGTGCATCTTGGACACATCTGATCTGACTGGTCTGTGCTATTGAAAATTGTAACAATTTCTTAAAATTCAGAAAAACTAGCCAATGAATACTGTAACAAGCAAACATATTAATGTGATTTATATATCCCCCTTATCAAATGCAGAAAATGGGATTGTATTATCTACACCAATGGCTGCTGACTCTTCTACTACTGTCAACAAACTGTTTCATATTCAGTTTATCGAAGAGCAATGTCATATGCCCACAGTATTGTAAATGCTCCATCTCACTGGGTATGCGGAGTGCTACATGTGTAGGGCAGAGACTTTCAAACATAGAAACAGGTGTGCCAAGTAATGTTCAGATTTTGGACATATCTAACAATTCCATATCAACACTGGAAAATGAAGGCTTCAAGGTAATATTTTGTATCTCTCTGTGTATTAGATTCATTCCTGCATTCTATCTAGAAACCTAAATAGTAAATGAAATGCTCGAATCTATAACTCTATGGATTATTTTACATGGGTTTGGAATTTAGTTCCTCACTCTTGCAGAAGAACACATATTAAAGATGTTTGAGGAAAAAAAACTTTCCAAGAAAGAGGAAGCAATAGAATGATGGAGAAATTTAATAACGAACAGCTTTATAGGCAGAATATGTAGCATTCATGGGAAAATAAGAAGCTGTATTTATTGGTTAGCTCTTCTATTTTGAGTTTGGGATTGAATGGGTTCAAATTGTAGTATGTTGACCAGCTTTACTGACTAATGTATTACAAGACAATCAAGACACAACATTTTAAAATACTCATGTCCATTTACTCCCCTAGCCTTTCCAATTCACTGCTCACAATTATCATGTCATATAATGCTACATAACCTATGCAGATTAAAAAGCAGTGTTAAATATTTAGATAAAGAATATTTTCCAACAGCTGATATTAGGATAAACATGATCAGTACTATAAAAATAAGCTTGAACTCAACAGCCTTGTCCAACCTAAGGCTTAGCCCATCACAATTAAACAATCAATTTTATAAACAAGCATGGGAGCTGTTCAGGGTCCCTGCTTGTGCAAGGGTTTTGAGAACGTAGGATCAGGATTTTATAAATGACTACTTAAGCTGTCCGAGTTATGTTTGATTAAAATCATTAATGTTTTTCAGAATCTTCAGCTAACATCCCTCTACAAAATACAACTCCAATATAACCACATAGGAACGATTGACCTCCATGCATTTTTAGGAGTTACAGAACTAAGAATACTAGACTTATCTTACAATCATCTCTATTACCTTCTGCCAGCAACATTTGAAGATACTCCTCAGTTACGGTCACTTTATCTACAAGGAAACAGACTGAAGATATATCCAGGACCTATTCTGACAATTCCATCTCTAGAGGTATAATGTACTGCCCATGTGTGTATACAAAATAATGTCCATCTGCACAAAACTCAAGAATGAATAAAATGATTTTCATTAAATTTGACATTGAAATACTTTATAAAAATTTGTCAAGCCATTTCAGTTTTCATTTACTCTCTTAATTTAGTGTTACATTATAACACAACCATGAACAATACATTAAACAAGTCAAACATATTTAATTATAATTCCTTCTGCCAAACACCCATTAAGTACACACCATATAATGTTATAATATTTTTATCAATGGAGCTAAAAACTTTTATTCTATTAGCAGAGAGTCAGCCATCTGCAAACAAATGTTGAATGTTCCAGACTAACTTCAATTAAGCTGCTGTTAAAGTTCACTGGTTTATTCTAGATTTTATTTTCAAAGAAATATTTTGGACATTAATATTTAACGTCTATTTCCTATGAGCCCTTTGCTATGCCAATTAAATTCACTGTATTCTCACACTACCAAACCAGCTAATTTAAATTTCCTGTACACATTACATTTGTATTAAGCACAGGAGAGGACATTTGACATCTAGTGCCACACATAACAAAGGGTTAAAATATGAATTACCATGTGTGTAATGTTCCTTTTATTTAGATTCTGGATATCAGTAGTTGCCAACTGGATCATTTGAAGCAGGAAAGCTTTATGGAACTTCCTGCTATGCAGAGTCTCAACCTGTCTCACAATCAGTTGATAAACCTCAAAGTAGAAGTGTTGGAAACACTAGCAAATCTGCAGCAAATTGACCTCAAGAGGTAAGCAGTATTCCAAATGAACATTATTGAATTCAATGCAATACAATAATCTGGAAAGTTAATTTTTCAGCTTTCAGAGGGAAATAAGAATAGTTCTCTCAATCTTCTATCAGTTGGTACTGGCATCTCGAATGTCAGAGGGTAAACACCTGTTGCATGAAGCTGAGCGCTATAGAGAGATTAGAAATAAGTAGAGCTTTACATCCAAGCCCTTGTATGTCCATGTTACTCCGAGTTTAAACATAGGGGCAACCTTACCTTTTCACTAGAGGAATCAAGAATGTCTCATATGCAGTGCCCATATATTATAATTTGTCTCCTATTGGCAAGTTCCTTTGACACTGACAAAAATAAACTAGGAATTATGTGCATTTTTTCATTATTTTATATTCTGTAAGAACTGTGAAATTAATATTGCCTTCTGTATTAAGCCCTTCAAACAATGTAGAGTTGAATTCATTAACTTTAGTTTTCAAATTTAAAGCAAAGGGTGTAAAAACATGTAAATACTTTCAATATTACATATGACATAGATATTAAGCTGTCTTTTGGTTGTGTGTGGTTATAAAATATGTCCACCTGCATGGACTTCGCATTTTCACATAGGCTTTGGAAACCAATATATTTTATGAGAAAATGCCAGTACCAAAAGTTTGTTAATTTCAAGTTTGATTTGAAATATTTAATGTGTTTAAACACCCGTAAACAATCAATGAAACTGCAGACCCAGCCATCAATAAATTATGCATTTTGCTCTTTTCCAGAAATCCATGGTCATGCGATGGAAATGCTCACGAACTAGAAGCATGGCTAAAGAAACGTCATATTCAACACGTCCCAGTGTGCAAACAAGAGTCTAAAGACAATGACAAGTTTCAAAAAATTGTCTCTGCAGTTGAGTTCCATAATGACACAGAAACAATGAGTGATGATGAACTATTAAGACTCTGGTCTCTTACTGAAAAAGATAAAAACTCTCATATGAAAGGAAATGGATGTGTAAAAACTAATTCTTCCATGTCAAGCAGTGGAAATATCTTTGAAATTTTCGATAAGATTCCTTCTTTTTGGTCACTTGTAATTGGTTTGGAGATTGGAATTGTGATTGGGGGGATTGGAATGTGGCTGTTGAATAGACTTAACCGTGTCCAAACACCACGGAACCCAGCATCCATCTACAGAATGCATAGCTTACAAACGCTGCAGAACAGAGTATCACTTCTCAGATTGAGAAGTGGAGGGGAAGACAGCACTGCACTATGGAATGAACTGGACATCATAAATTGTCCCGATACTCCACCCCCAGCTTATCGTGATTGCACCAATTACTTCCCAGGAAATACCTACACATAACACAGGTGAAGACAGTTGATATACCATGTGGTAAATTGAGAATAAATTAAAAGAAACATAATCTGTCAGCTGTAACAATACAACTGAGACCAGCCAAGGGCTAGGTAACAGATTAAACCCTTAACTTACGGGAGAGGGCTACTGCACACCTCATGGGGAGGTGAGAGATAAGATGGTAGAATGATGAATGGCAGGATAAAACCACAGAAGTCTGAAATAAACCTACTCCAATACCATTTTGTCCATCACAAACCCGACTTTAACTAATCCTGTACTGAACTTGGGTCTCTAGTGAAAAACCAGTGTCTAGCCACCAGAGCCATGGCACAGTTTCACCAGAGATACAGAGTATTTTGTTACTAAATTAATAGAACAATTCATGTGTCATCAAGTCTACAGACTGGATGGCCAGGGTTCAATTCTTAGCAGGGCTTTTCTCTCTCTCTCTCAAATGCATTCACATTGGCTCCAGGGTCCACTCAACCTCCTACCCAATGGGTATTGTAAGTTCACTCTTATGTGGCATGAAGCTGACCAATCCTTCAATCTGGAGCTGGAGTTAAGAATTTATAACGCTACAATAACAACTACATTTATTGCTACTACTACTTGTACTTCTAATTCTATTACAAAGACAATAAATCTATGTATAGAAATTCAGCAAATATGGAATATTAAATTCTTTTTTATGCTGGTAATCACTGGAGCCACTGGAATTGTAACTAAAGAATTAAAAAATATCTAGAAACAATACCAGGAAAGCATTACAAAGATTCTGTATAAAAAACAGCCACACTAGGAATACTGCACATAAGGGAAGTGGTACATTCAGAAAATTGAAGCCTGAGTGGTGGGATTCACCATTGGTTCAAGAGGAGAAGTACCAGGGAAAAACTGTGATAAGAAAATAAATAACAACAATAATAAATGTAATTCATACTTGCTGTATCATAAAAATACATAAATTGCAAAAATATGTTATATAGGTCATTTAAAAACTTGAAACAGTGAACTGCAATATAACTAACAGCAGGTTGATTTAAAAAATGGGATGCAAATGTAAATGCATATGAAACATTATAACATTTTTTTAACATGTACTCCAAGGACAAAAATACATATTTTTGCATATAAAACCTTCCATTATTATTAACTGGAACAAATTATTAATGTAAAGGAATATCATCAGATCAATGAAAATATTTACACCATTAACACACATTTTTTTCAGAAGATACATCCCTTAATTATTCAGGATTTGTGTTTATTATAAACAAATTCCTAGCTAAATGCATAACAAGTATAAACTTACAGAAGGATAATACTTTGTGGTCTCTTGATCTTCCACTTGAGCTGTGACAAGACATAACTGAACAGCACATTACATACAAATGAGCAACAAGACAAGATGCTGTGTCAGACACTGAAATTATATAAACTCCAATGAATATGGAAATAAGGAGAAAAAGAGGAAATGTCATCACCATGTGGAATAGCCAAAAATAAAACTGGTGTCAGAAGAGTGGAAGGCACATGCAAAAAAATCATTTGCAGCCCTTCAAAACAAAAGACGAGGGTAAAAATAAAATCTTCTCTGGCCAGCAGCCGTATCACTTGGTTAAACTCTGGCAGAGTTTAACCAAGTGATGTGGCTGCTGGCCCGTGAAGATTTTATTGACATCTGCCATGAAAGCTTCACATCATATAAGAGTATAAAAGTGTACTTGCAAAACTCTTCAATCTTCATCAAAACTGTAAATAAATAATAAAACTAATCATTTACTATGATAATTATATCAATATATATTCCCCTTGACAAACATTCTATTATCTACTACCGTGGCACTGCAAAGTGATCGTTTTATATATTAAACAGTTGCCACGCCATGGAATGGAAGTGGACAAAAATTACTTTTGCACTATAACAAATAGTTATGGTTGCCTTTACACAAAGAAGCTAGATCGAAGAACATAAGAATTGCTATTTAATAAAATTAAAACACTTACCAATGAGTGACAGTTTTCTGCATGCATAAGCAGTATGATTATAATCCAGAAGATATTGCTACATATATGAATAGATGGAGACACATGATGGAATGAGTGAAAACAGCTGAAGACAGTATGGAATTATATAATCTACAGAGTGAAAAGTAAGCTGAAGACCAAGAACGTATTGGAAAGAGAATTTTGAAGCTAGTACAGGCATTAGATAGCCTTATCTGTGAATATATGATGGTACAGTGTTATACTGCATGTTCATTGCACAATTTTAATATCTGCAATGCTTGCTACCATGCAATTCAGTATCTTTTAGATTACAAGATTACAATGTAAAAACAAATTATAATTTTACCTGTTGTTTTGTATGAATGAGAAACTATGTCTCTCACATTAGGGGAAGAACATGGATTATGGATATTTGAGAAAATGGTGCTGAATAGAATATTTGGACCTAAGAGGGATGAAATAACAGGAGGAAGTAGAACATTTAATGAAGAGCTCCATAACTGGGTGGCTTGCATGATCTCATTACATGATACAACACTGCTACCACAATACCAAATGTCTGTTCTTAACACTGAACAGGTCACATCATGTCAAAATAGGATATAGAAAACCTTTATAATTCAGAGAAGATGAAGACTTAAATTGGACTAAAGAAGAAGACTAAACATTTCATTCTAATTTTCAATGTCAGCACAGCCATCAAAGTGAACATACAGTGGCACATTAGAATTGATACAATCACATTGTAACCAGTGCTCGAAATGGTCTCACATTTCCCGAAAAATGGAACAGAATCAATTACAGACCTTATAAGTTACTGATAAGCAACCTATGGTCTGCACATGTCTCAATGTGGCCCACAGGCTGATTTCACACCTCAAAAACAGAGGTAATAAAAATCAGCACCAGACTTCTAATTGATATTCTCCCACACATTAAATTAAAAATGTTAGATGCAAGAATTTTTAATACAAAATCTTTCCTTCTTAAAACATAAGTATTTTTGTCAACTAAAAAATTATATGACAAAATACTAAATAATATATTTTACTATCATTTGGCCTGTGGTATGGACAGGTGTTTGTACTTTTAAATTGGTCCTTGCATAATACAGGCTGCCCAGTAATGCTGCAATGGATCACAATTTATACAAATCATTTACACCAAAAAATGATTGTTCTCAAATAAATGGTACTGGAGACTTTGTTATTCTCCCTGTCATCTGAATGTGAAACATGCAACTATACTTTCTCAATTTCTATAAAACAAGTATTAAAATCCTTTACAAGACATTTCATCAGGATCTCCTGGTTACAAAGCACATTTACTGACAAATCACCACTAAGCAGATTAATGTTGTACTGTTACTGGTTCAGCCAGGTTACTAGATAAACGGGGATTTCATTGGTTTCCTCTGTCAACACAGGTTGATGCCAGGAAGTATATTCAAACAGTCCATAACCATCTCTTTTACCTACATCATCACCTTCCCACCTTAATCAGTGTTCGTGACATAATAAGATGAAACAGAATCATTCAATAACCTAGGCATCATTAACGAAAGATATCAAGCTCTTAAATTCAATCAAGTAATTCAGTTACGTATGATTTGAAGAGAACAACGCCCACTGTTCAATATTACCAGCTAAGGTGATGCATATAAAGTAGAAACATATTAGGAAGAAGATGAATGCTCGGTTTACTGATTTATGTTACACAGTGCCAAATAACAGGATGATTTTGAATCATAAATTGCGATGAATGTGGTCTACTTAATCCAGTCACTGTTTATGAAAATATGTAGGCTGTGTGTTGGCCAGTAATCTTCCTGCTGTCAGCTCTTAACAATGATGCACAAAATTTCATCCCCACATATATCAATATAACATTCTAGCCTGTAACAGCGATACAGCTAAGCTACTGTCCCAGAATATGACTGGAGGGACTGACAAAGTCACCAAAAAAATATATATATATATATTATATATATTAGAATAACAGGATTCTGAGCAGAGAACAGAACTTGGGACTCCTTTAATACAAAATGGGAGTAATTTTCTAATGGTCAATACACAATAAATTTGAAATTTGACAACCCTGGTAGTTAGTGTACTAGCCTAGTATTCAGGTGCCATGATCAATCACAAATAAAAAATATGAATACCCACCTTCAAGTGACAACCCAGAAGACCACCAGCGGCATCTGAGAACCTCAAATTTCAAATAATAGCACTGTCGATAAAATGGCATCCAATTAACTGAAAACAGGAGTAGAACCAACTCCTGAACTGCTCCATATATCAAATATATTAAAAATAATGGACACCACCCAACATAGCACTGGTATAACAAAACATGGTCCTTTAAACTTACTATATTGGAAGGAATGCATTAGGTCCAGTTCGAGCACTGCATGAAGTTATCAAACAAATAATCTACAATACAAAACAGTTTCAATGGAAAATAAAGAGATACTTACAGCTCCATAATACAATGTAATTAAGGCACATTTTAAACAGTACTAATTATACCTATCCTAATGATATGGAAACTGGCACATCGTTGAACTCAATTGTATTTGGTCCCTGAAATATAAAGATTACAGTTTAAATTAAATACATATGAATGTGGAAATTATAAGACCACAGCTTATTTATAGGGTTGACAGGATATGAAAGAGGGTTACAGTGCTGTGACTCTTTACAAATGTTATTTAAATTATGGAATCTGACCAGGAATATGTTAAACAAATTATGGCCTGCAGTATTTCCAGTCTTCCTGTATCTCTGCTCAAATAAATTGTAAAGAATTCTTTAAACAAAATAGCAAAAGAAGACGGGGTGAAAACTTGCAGTCATGTAAAAATAACTGAAGAGCCTTACTGGTAGATGCTTAGACGCACAAAGGAAGGAACTGATAAAATAATTATAAACAATAGTCTAAAGTTCCAATGGAAAATTAAAGACAATCTCAGTGCAAGTTCTAAAGCTGGAGAGTATGAAAACTGAGTGCAGCAGCAATAATGGAACTGCCTGGCTGGGTATTACCATCATCACATAAGGTTCCCTACATGATTGCTCAGATAGCTAGTGATTGCCCACATGGGAATTCACCACTGAAATCACTGTGCATAAAAACACATCTAGGTCTTTATATACCATGCCTGCTATTGTTATCTGATTTTAACCAAAACTGGAATGTACTGACAAATTTTAGTATAATTCTCCAACTTTGTAAAAATCCATACGGACAAACAGACGTGGTGACGCTAATAGTTGCATTTATTACTTGTGATTGTACCTAAAAATCCCATCCTCTGAAAAATATGAAACCCGGTTATATAGCCCATAGCCAGCGACTACTTCATAATTTAGGGTTACCCACCTCTTGAAATTTCTGCTTTCTAGTATATGATGTGCATGCTAGCTAATGTTAATTGCAGGCACCAATTCTTTGATATTTGTATATTCAGGATCCGATGAGAATATCTCCAGTAGTTCACTGAAGGTTGGTCTGTCACGTGGCTGATATGCCCAACATCGTTCCATTATCCTATAAACACTGTCTGGACAATGTTCTGTTTGTGTCAAACGCTCCCCTTTTTCCACCAGCTGTATCACCTGAACAACACATGAACCATTAACAATATGTTATCAACAAACCAGATTCAGGAGCAATATCAAGGGAACAAAGAGTCGATGATACATGCCTGAGACAAATTCTAATGTCCTCCCATAACCTCTTTTTAAAAACAATGCAAGATGGAAAATGGGAACTCCACCATGAAAACATCCCAGAAGGAAGTATCTAGTAAATTAACCAGTTACTGATGATGTTCTTCTGGGGTTTGGTGCCATTTTGACCGGTCAGCTTCTACCAACTAGTTAACACAGCGCCAAAATCCAGCAGAAAATCATAATTATTGTCACCACAATCAAAATCTCAAATTTCACAACCAGTTACTGTTCTCCTGCCACACTTCATTCCTGCCAACTTCTTCTGTTCCACAAGGATATTTTTACATGTACAAACTTTTGTATATACTATAGGTTCAAGAATTTGACAGATACCAGCTCACATACCTCAACGCCCCTCTTCTCTCCATAGGGCTGCTGTCCAACTGAAAACATTTCCCATAATGTTACACCAAAACTCCACACATCACTGGCATGAGAGAAAGTGCCAAAATTATATGACTCTGGTGCATACCTGGGAAGCACAAACATGAGTATTTCATTGCCATGCGCCATTAAGATTATTATACAACAAAACCCTGTTACAGTGTCACACTTCGTCCACCACAATAATGGTGTTAAAGCAGGAGTGGCAGTAAATTAAAACTCCCTCCCCCCCAACTCAGAACATCTCCAACACAGTGTCAACTGATGGGTTTAACTCACAAAAAAAGATAAATAGTTGGCAATATTTTTCTGGCTTGAACTGGGATATTGTTCTTTGCAGGCGCAAAATTTGTAGTGGTGCATCATCCATGCCTGACATCAAGTGTTTCAAGTCTTTGAGAATACATCTCATATTAATTCTGTGTTTAATCACTAGAATAGTTATTTTATTGACAGCAATGGATGGACAGAAGTGATGGTCTTGAAACTATGGGAGTACAAACTGTGTCAGAAACTTATATCTCACACTCAACTCTCATAAAAAGACACGAGAGAAGAAAAAGATGAAGTTGTGAATGGCAGCCAAAATACCTTCCTACTGCATGAACGACTCAATCAGATACTGGATGCTTGTTAACATAAAAATTGTCATTGTTATCATCATTAGTGACAGTCATCATCAATAATCACTCTTCTTACACTGTACAAGAAATCAACTCCTTCCCTAAATGCCTAAGAGAGTGTGTGTGAGTGGTAAGAGACAGCACACGTGCGAAGGTGAATGCATGCATGATGATGGTCGTTCACAGTTTAAAACCAAAAAAAGTAAAACCATACCATTTGATAGGCCAACGACCTCCTTGGGTGGCTTTGTAATATTCACGTTCATTCCCGAGAGCACGTGACAGACCAAAGTCACTAATCTTTGCCTGGTGTCTAGTTGCAAGGAGAATATTCCTAGCAGCCAAGTCTCGGTGAACAAATCTCTGTTCTTCCAGGTACTTCATTCCTGTGAATGAAATTCTGACCTGAATTCGCATCTGGCACTGTTCTATCACACAAATTTAAAATAATACTTATTAAGATCAGTAATACTCTTGTGTGTTTCTATACCTTTATACACAGTTATTAATAGTTTATTTAACAATGCTGTCAGTATCTCACATTAAGAAGATTACTGAATAATGAATTTCATTAACTCATTAATAACATTACTTTAATCTTCTAAGCATTCTTTCCTCAAAGTGCATGAAAAACACATTATAAGGAGGCCAAATTAACCTTTCTGAATGCATGTCAACACTAGCAAATGGATTTGAATGAAATTTAATATTGGGAGTTTAAACTAAAAAGTTGTCAGGAAATATACTTTTAACAAAGTCTTCAATTATCTTTCAACATTATGAACATTGTACAACACAGACATAACAGCATATTTTGATTTTACAGATCACTTACCACATGCAATTTGTGATGCCCAAACTTTCAATTCATAGTCTGGATTTACTCGGTCAGGGAACTCCAACAAGTAAGCTAACATTGAACCAAGAGGAACCAACTCCTGAACCTACAGAAAAATTAACATTATAATAGAAAATAAGCAGTTATAGTTTTGTAAGATTTGAGGTTTTCACAGCGGTGAGTATGAAGATTTCCGTCTTCTGGGTTGTTGCGCTGTGTAGTCTGGTAGACGTTAACCAACGTTTCAGAGGTCATACTGCCTCCGTCATCAGGGTGATGAATATGCCAATAGGGTGTGAGGTGCTAGGTTTATAGGCCGGGAAGTGAAAGGTGTAGCCTATAAACCTAGCACCTCACACCCTATTGGCATATTCATCACCCTGATGACGGAGGCAGTATGACCTCTGAAACGTTGGTTAACATCAACCAGACTACACAGCGCAACAACCCAGAAGACGGAAATCTTCATACTCACCACTGTGAGAACCTCAAGTTTTACATGATAATCTTGTTTACAGCTGGGTGTCTCTTAAATACAGATCAGATATGGCACACACCAGCAGAAATTTCTTTGTCTGAACACTTACCATAAGCAAAGGAGGTCCTTTCGACACACCAATTAGCCTCACTATACAATGGTGGTTCAGTCCTATCATAACTTTAGCCTCTCGAAGGAATTCATCGCGGTTAGCTTCAACATGTTCTTGATGTAGAGTTTTGATAGCTACATCAATCTGTAAAGAAAAATCTGCAGAGTTGAACAAACCATTTGACCAATTATGATTATGTTTTACCCCGCTATAACACATAATGAAGCATAAAATGTCACTTTGTACAGGCAGGAATTCACAAATTTACAATTTGATTGTTCTTTCAAGAGGAGATTTATTTTTATGGGTCGTCACCATCAGGCTGGATTTTCATTGCGCTTTATAAAAGAATTCATACTTCTATAAATTTACTTCAAGACTGATCCTACAGAATTCGGTTATTTATCCTGGTTGCAAATGTTTATTCTTAAGCATTAGTATGAAAAACAATGAATCATTACCATTGTACCATCCATATTCTGGTATGTTCCTTTGAAGACAGACCCAAATTCCCCCTCACCAAGAACTGTGCCAAGAGAAAGACTATCACGAGGTATAAATTCTGAAATCACAACAGCAAACAAGACACATATTAAAATTTAATTTATTTTCTGTTATTCATCTGCTTCATTAATTAATATCTCATTTTTTCCTTAGTTTAGTTAATGACATGTTTGTATTCGTATATGTTACATACATGTGTATAATCAAACGGGAGGATAACAGTAAATGATGACTTCAGAAGCATGTGTAAGGAAGCAGTCACGTCTAACTTAAAGATAATCTCCTAGAATCACGTAAAGGCGCCGAGGGAAGCAATAAAAATCCTCAGTATGGATAGTCAGCCATTTTGACCACTATACTGCAATGTTAAATTTGATAAGAACATTAATAAACACTACTGAAATAAAAGCTGTCAAGTGACGGCTGTGCCATAACAATGACATACACCAAACAGAAGACAGTCAGGCTTCGCTATTGGTATTGTACTTTGGAAAGCAAAATTTGTCAAGTTTCGCTGTTGAAGTACAGTTCACAGACCAGGAGAAAATACCTGCTAGGAATTCGATATACGCGCATGTGCAAGATTTTGCGGTGAGTGACAACCCATCCTAAAAGCATTCGTTCCACAACCACTGAACGAACAACAGACGACAGGCTTTCATGTGTTCTAATGGGTACAGCTTTAAGATTACCTCACAGAGGCACAGCGATTTAATCTAGAATGTTATCACAACACCCACAGAACATATTACAAGTACGCTCACTACACACTACTCTTAACTGCTTGATGTTTTCAGTCTGTGTGTAGTAGTGTGACTCTCTGGCATGTCATACTTCCCACCAATAGCAGCCCTCTAGTCCACTTGATAGTAAACATTCCCCCTGCCCCCACCAGAACCAACTTCCCCCCGCAGGGCTTTTCTCGTGATCTGTGGACAGTATATAGTATTGAACTTGCAACGATAAAGTTTACTGTTAGCAAGGGGAAATTTAACTGGAATAAATACATGGAAATAAATACAACAGTAATAAATACTGTATATTGACAATGAATAATCCAGTCAGTTGCATAATATTATTAGGATTACAATGCATTATCAGTATGAGAGAATACTTGTAGCTAAAAAAGGATTTTCAGTGCTTGAAACTGTGCAATAAGGGTTGCCCAACATATAAGGGTTCATCATTACTAACCATGATGTTTCGGTTCCTGCTTTTTTGGAGTTGGCATCACGCTTTCCACATTATGATTTCTGTCAACTGGACATGGAATGGGTTCTGGTACACTTGGCACAGATGAACTGATATTACTGCTGTTAACAGTCAGTGAGCCACGACGACTGTGAACAGGAGATGCCCCCGCACTTGATGATGGTGACACCCCATGACTTCTGTTTGGTGAGCATTTCAGTGGCCTTCGGTGAGGTAATGTTGCAGACAGCTGAATGGAAAGACATATTTTCTGTGATTATCTACTTATTCTGTATACACTTGATGGTAGCATGTATACATTTGTTATTGATATCAATTTCTTGATGGGAAGATTGCTTTCTAGAAAAATCCACAATGTTAATAGGACATCTTTACAATTTCAAAATACTACATAATGTAGATGTTTGTCATCTAAATTTTAACATGGTGTAAACTTATTGGTAGATACCGACATTTCAAAGAAACATAATGCCTCTACAGTCAGCCCTGATGATGGAGAAGTATGTTCCTTTGAAATGATGGTACCTTCCTGTTAAACCACAGAGTGTGACAATCAAAAAGGATAACATTAACCTTCACTGCCATAAAACCCTCAAATCTACATGATGCAAACCACCAACTGTATAATGAGTTGACACTATACAGTCTGAGCTACTGACAGTGTAATTCAACAAACCACAAATAAATAAATAAAAATAATGTGGGTCTCTCTGCTTTCTTCAGTCAGTCATGTAATTTAGTGTTAAGTATACTTGGAATAATCTGACAAGGCAGATCAGGGCAACTGGCCAGGATTGCAATAACTGTTACTACACATGTACCATTTCTCCCTTTGCAAAAGGGAAGACATGCACTCAAAGTGGTCAATGTTTTTAGTTCAATGTGTACACACACTCCCCATTATGCTACCCACATGTCAATATATACTGCATCTTGTACACACTGTTATATGTTCCTCCACAGCTAACTGTAGCACACCAATAATCTGTCCATGTACACCCTACTGAATTCAATGTCACATTGATGATGGACTGTATTATTCCAGCCGAGTGCTATTATCCAATACAAACATGGCACACACAATTTTTTACATAAACCTGACATAGGTAAATGGGTTAATATGTGGAGATCACAAGATCATGTAACGCATTCCTTCCATACTAAAACCATAAAAAAATCTACAAATCTCCATACAGCTTGTCATAACCACAATGTTCATGTATGGGAAAAAGAAACACTTTATATCAGAAGTACAGATATAGAAAACTGCAATATTTTATGTTAACAGATTTGGCTATCAGTAGATTTTGTAATGGGAAAGACAGTTTATGAGCTGTGTGTGTATGTAAAATAACTTAATAAATCACTACATAATTTTTAACCCACTGGTATACCTTGACCTCTGTTTAATTTTTTCAGCCTTACAGGTTGTGAGTCAGCTAAATGAAAGTAAAAACAGTTTACTTACAGGACAAAAGATATAGTTCACCTCTATTGAAGTATGTGCCAATTCTGAGAAATTCTGAAATTTCAGACTTAACTTTATGAAAAAAATTCTTCCAAAAATGCAAACCTAGAGGCTAATTACAATAACGTTGTTAACAAACTGTTTGGTCTTATGCACTGAAATAAATTCCCAGAAACAATATGCAAACAATTCAGTTCAATCAAATTTAAATTTTATTCACAAAATATTTTTCAGTCATTTTTATTAAATGGTTCCATTTATTCCTAATTTCTCCTTTCACAGAGTGCAGAATATTATTGCTAGAAGAAATTTATCACTTAACAGTCTTCAAAACATGACCATATGTGGATTCGGGAAGGATGTTTACCCATTTGCCACACCATTTAAACTCAGTGTACACAGATTCTGTTATGCCAATTAATGTGAATACTTGTTATACGCATGTTTTAGTAAGTTAAGCACAAAACTGGACATTTAATTTTATTATGTTACCTTACATTAAGCATGGTACAGAGTAGGATTAACATATTCAATCCAAGCTAGCTATATGTTATATATATACACCAGAATGCATGTTATAGTATGGCTGCAGTACATTATCATGTTAGGATACAATCTGCGACATAAGTCTACATGTCACAAATATTGCATAGTGTTAACACTGCTACATAGCAGTAAAGTGCAGTGTGATTAACTGCAAATACAAAATTTAAATAAGTTTAGTATTTAAATAAAATGCAAAGTACTTATATTAAATCTAAATAAGTCATCTGCATTAGCAGAGCTCAAAAAAAAACTTCCCCATTTTTTGCAGTGAAGTACAGTCTTAGTTTTTAACAATGTTTAATTACTCCAAACAAGAGGTGGAGAATGGATCAATGCTTTGTGTCAAAAAGTTTCAAGAATGCATTAACTGACTTGCATCACAATGCATAATGCACATTGCAAAACAGTCGAGTTCAAGTAGAAGTCTCACATCATAACATAATAGCTGTCTTACTCACCATAATAGACGAACACTCGGTTGTCATCAGTTGATGTGATAAAATATTTCTGGAGCTTGAGTATTAATTATTATTTACAGTGGAAACAGAAATTTCCAAAACAGATTTTTTAAGCTAATAATCTGACATGGCTAATATCACAGGAATTTACTAAAAATGCAATTAAACCGACAAATAATTAAGCAGATTATGATACTATATAATGAAATGTAAACAACTGAATTACATGTGGAGCCGGCATGAAAGTATAAGTTGTATGTCACCTTATTCTTTTGTAAAGTTTTCTAAGTATTTTGTTTTCATGCTTAGTTTTATAAGGTCAAAGATTATGTTTTTATTATTTAGCTTCATGTTACATTACACACAGTTCTCACCCCATTAAGTAGTAATGAGGGAGGCATCTCAGGCACTGGGGGTTTAGGCATGGGAGGAACTGGAACCTGCAGTGTTGTAGGCAGACCGTCCGACAATAGGCTATAGTGCTCAATCACATGTTCCAATGAATCCAAATATGGACCATCATCAATAAAGAAATAATCACCCTAAAAATCATATTAAAACGAAAAATTAAATTAAATTAAATAAACTAAAAGAAAAAAACACAATAATATAATTCAAAAGTGTATCTGGGTCAGTATAATAAAACCTTGTTAGGTTTTAAGGAGATAGAGTGAAGACTTGTTCTCACATGAGTACATAAAACAACCCAATAAATGAAAAATCAGCCTATATGTTATACATGTTCACATTATACTGTAGTGATTAATCATGTCACGGCCTTGCTATATGACTACTGAATACACTGCACTGAATTTCCTGTTTTAAATCTCAAAAAATCATTTTACTGACACTATTATTTGTAAGAAAATTACCTAACTAACTAGAAAAACTGAAAGATGAACGGAAAACAACAGAACACCAAAACAGATTACGCCATATAAACCTGGAGAGGTGTTTAGGAAGAACACTGAAAAAATTGCATGTAAATATGACATGTAACATGGCCTGAATGAGTGATGAATATTTTTAAAAATGTAATTTACTACATGTGCCGTTTATACATTAACCATCGCCAGTAGCGACTCACATACCAGGCTGAACACGCATCATCTCAGCACTCAGCCCTATTTATGACCGACAGACCATGCACCTTCATCTTTGCCTTTACATTATTAGCCCACCTGTTTTTTTTTCAATTTATTACTTTTTGTCTCTCATCTCCTTTTGGGACTTTAATTAATTTTGAACATTATATCACCTCCATTTATAACAATAACCCTCCCATAGCTGTTTGTGTAAACCAAATTTTCCAGTGATTATGCAGGCTTGGAATGAACTACAGCGACTACTGGAGGATGGGCCTTCAGCCCTGCCTACAAGAAATTAATACGAGGCTATATTTTTGTCATGACCAATTCAGCCCTTTAATAGTGCTTAGACATAGGGCAGCTTTACTAACTAAGTGACTGTTGAATTTATAGTAATTGTTATTCACAACTCTTATCAACAAACAATTCAAATCAAAAATAAACAAACTTTGAACTAACCTAACCTACTTACTGACAGCAGCATTTTCCCTGTCTAGTATCTAATGTATATTTCAATATAACTCAGTCATCAGGTTCTCAACTTTAACTGCACCACATGAAGTAAGGGTTGGAATTATGGCAAGAGAAACTTCAATAAAATGTGATATGCAAGTTTTCACTAAAATCTGTTATACTGTTTGGACAAAACACGTCAAACACAGAGCAGTTTGCAAACTCCGCGTTGTTCCACTGGCCGCGTGCGGGATACGGATTCTCTTGCCTTTACCACAGCTTGAACTCACTCCGAGGTCCCGAACGGTCGATAGTCTAGACTGATTCTGCCCCCCCCCCCTTTCCACTTTAAATAAAGTCAAATTAAACTTCATCCAGTTTCTTAAAAAAAGGCATCTTACAAAATACTAAACAGAACTTTAGTTACAGTCTGCTCCTTCCCAAATTATTCAATTACCCCTAGTTAAAGTTGGTATTTTATCAGGGGGTATGGCAAAGTATGTGTGGTTCACATGTATGTATGAACTGTTTACAAAAACAAGCAAATAGTACAGGCACAAGACATGGTAGAACCACAGTTGTCAATGATTTAGTAATGTGTCTGTTACTGTTGTTATCATATTAGCAAAAGCATTAACAAATTAACAAATTAACAATATTGCCACTAATTTACCAATGTCTCATTGGCAGAGCCCTTTCAATGGAGACAGATATACGCACAACAGAGAAGTATAAAAATTCAAATCACCTGGGTCCTGATTTGAAAATGGTACGTCTGGCCAGAATAGATAGTTGTCAACACGTACATTCCACCGTTACGATCGCTATATCGGACAAGGAACGTGCCATCCTTACTGCCCCACTCCTTCAACATATTCAGCGCTTCATTCCTATCAAGTGTACCATGATACCAATCTTTCTTTTGAGTTTTTGGTACTGGACATTTGTAGTTCCCTATGAAATACAATAAAAATAAAATTAATACCCCAATCAATAAAAATGACTCTCTATAAAGTACTAATTGTTTTTGTGTGTGGCTGCTCTTTGGTTGCTAGAAAAATATATAATCAAGTTTATGTTTAAAAAAATATTGCTTAGCAATGTGAACTCGATTTTTAACACAGACACTATGAAAGAAACATCTCTGTATTATGTAGCACTTTCCAGGAATGCAAGTACTATAATTCTGAATAGACTTATACTAGCTGGTAACAACCTTGCAACTAACGTAACTTACTGAGTATCCTAGCACAGTCCTGGTGACCATTTCTCATAGCTAAATCAACAGGAGTGTCATTAGCAATTGTCCTTGGGTTGACAGGTGCATTCAAGGACAGTAAAACTCGTACAACCTCTTTGTGACCTCTACTGGCAGCCTCATGAAGTGGAACCCAACCTATCAGCAAATTTCAGTCATAAGAATATGAGAATTGATCAAATTTGGGACTGATATCTCTAAAAATGCACTGATAAATGGTTTAATATACAATACTGTAACACATAAAATTACAGAACATCTCGGATAAATAGAATTCCTTTATAGCACCACAAGATAAGCACGTAATTCTTTTATTAAACCATCTGGAGTTAGACCGAAAATTTCAACACTGTAACAATGAAGTCCACCACTGAAATACAACATGAGCCACTTCAATCCAATCCACATAAGCAAAGCCTAAATTAATTCCTTGCTTTGCTACTTGTATATAATTCACCATACACAATTTCTATCAGGAAAGTAATTTTAAACTCCCTTTACATACGACTCAGTGATTACCAATTTCAGAGAAATGTATTGCTTGCATCTTTAGGCCTCATGATGGAAGCAATATACTCCTCTAATATGATGTAAGAACCTACAAGACCATATTGCATCAGAAGCCAAAATAACACAATCACAAAGAGTCAAATTTAATTTTTGTAATACACAAAAAATTTAAATTTGCCCAAATTCCAAACAAATGTACATGAATAATGCAGCATTTATATTGTATAATTCATCACAACAGTGCCATGCAATTTATTCACAGATCAATTTTATAGAATTCTTGAGAACAAATTACCTGTATCTGAGTTCCGTGCCTGAATATTGGCAAATCCTATTTGCACTAGTACCCGGACTGTGCTAGGCAGGTTGCTTTGACACGCATACTGAAACCAAGCAGATATACTTTCTTTGGTTAAAAAGTTTTTTAAGATTTCACACAGTAACACCCCAATTATCAAACTACTTTAAAGGCTATATAAACAAAAACAGTTATAACTTGGAAAAATAATGTTGAGGTAAAAACTTCATGAACACTGTGTAATTAACAACATTTCAGGAGTTCAGGCATAAATCCAAGTATTCTCAGCCTACAATATCTGCAACTATACTACATACATGTAGTGGCGTGTAGCCGGCCGTATCACGACAGTTAATGTTGGCTCCACTTTCAATTAATTTCTTGAGAATATCATCCTTGCCCATGCGACTTGCCAAGTGCACAGCTGTTTGTCCCTCCTGATTCTTTGCCTCCAAACTCCGATATCCACACTTCAGTAACTCTGATACAACTGTGTAGTTTCCTAAAAGATTTACAACATCACATGGAGCAATTGGCAAAAGACGCTTTCTCTGAGAGCAGAGGAAGGACACCACCTACAAGTAATTCATCGTTAAGTACAGTGCTGATATATGAAAGGAACTGCAATTGTTGATATAGATCCAAGAATATCAAATACAACAGTTGAAAAGCAAAGGGTGGAAAATTCTTCTGGCATTTATACTGTGATCCCAGTAATATGTGTCTGACTCCAAATAGCAGTAGTGATGCCAGACATAATTTTACACAATGAAGAACATGAACTCATTTTGCAAAAATAATGAAACAGAGACTATGCCATATCAGCAGACTGCAGAAAGCAAAAAAAGCATTAATTACATTGAACATAATAAAATAGCACTGTCACTATAACTAAAAACTATTCCTATATTTAACATTATTACAAAGACCACGCATAAACTGATAAAAAAACACACTTCTTGTTACAGACAGTACTCATTACATCAGGCTTTTCCTGTCTATACAGAATAAGAAGGAGACTACTCAAAAGTGAACAAAATTTGTGTGTACTGTCTTCAGTAAAAATGGTTTAAAGTAAAACGCCACTCACTTACAGAATGCACATTTTTTTAAAATTCATTCTTACCATTACATCTCATGAGCATCTTTATATTAGTAAAAAATACCAATACTAATTTCATACTGCTGTAACATTTGCTACATATTTGAATACCTACATTTATTTAAGAGAAAATTTAAATTTATAAATTACAGAAATAGTATAATCTGAAGCTCAACATTTAAGTAAATCTTTTTGAATTTTCCTACTGTGAGGCATTTTTTTATAATACTACTCAGTTTTCAAAACTCTGATGAGACAAACTGACTCAAAACATAGAAAACACCAGTTAAAACACTAAACAATGTTTCCTTAAAACATCCCCCTTCCTTTGCAAGCATTACAATATCACAGCAAAAGTTCTTAATTACCTTCTTTGGTTGCTCTATGTAAAAGATTAGTACGTCCATGTCTGCGAGAATCATGAGGTGGAGGATCCTTCTTACAGACCTTGGTAAGCTTACAGACCAGACCATGTGCTGCTTCCTGGTAGTATTCAATTAAAGTCTCCAAGCCATGGATTATGGTATGTTCATCTGTAAAAATCTCTGCCTTAGTCACAAACAGGCTGAATTTGGTAAAATTTCATGTTCTCGTGGCAATCACATATGAAGACGGCTGTCTTCTGGGATACCAAATAGTCTGGTAGATATCAACCAACATTTCAGAGGTACTTACTGCTGCCATCATGACTCATGACCCACACCGCATCACGCAACATTACAGAAGACAACCATCTTCAGGTTAAATTACAATTTCAAGTATCCATGATAGTGACAGCTTGGTTTGTAATTTTTTTAACCCAACGCCACACAGTCATATAGGTTGCTGCTATGTCAATACAAAGTGTCACAATCTTAAGGTGACATTAGAGTGATTCATACAAACTAAAACAGAGTTCGCCATTAACTTCAAAAGATTCAATCTATAAAATTATTAGTAAGCAAATCCTTTCTAATACTTTCACTCTGATTTTTACCTCAGTATGTATGTAACTGCTGCTAACAACACACAGTTATGGGACAATTACACACATCTCTTGATGTACAAAGCATTTGAGCGAGTGACAAACTGTAATTTTCATTAACATCAAAAAATTATTTCACACTTACAGAACTTCATAAAATTAAATTTACCTATAGAAAAAAAGGCATCTTCTCCATGTCGTCTAATCTGATAATGCACCACTTCTCCCTCATGGAGGACAGACAGCACATAGTCTCCAACAGCCGTGTTGCTCTCGCGAACCAGGAAAGCTCCATCTTCATCGCCACCATCTAATAATATAACAAGTGTCATTTTGCTGACATTGTGAACTTAACAGTTCTGAAGAAGAGTGGAGTGTATGTAAGCTGCTCACACTACTAGGAAAAATCTTTGTAACATTTCACAATAAATATTGCAATTGTCCAGGTTGGAACAGCGTAGTCCTGTAGGTGGTTACCAACTTTTCAGAAAAATATATTGCATCTATTTTTGTGGTGTGGTGAAGATGGAGTGATGGAGGTGATACATTCCTCCAAAACAATGGTAACCACCTACAAGACCATATGACATCATAATCCAGAGCTGTATATTCAAAATCTAGCAAACCATTAGATGAGGCCAAAGCCTGAATTAAGCTGTAAAGCCAAAACACAAAAGAAAGATAAAGCAAAGGAATGGGAGGATAATATGAGTGAAGAGGTAAAACAGAAGAAGTATTATCATTTCTGCAATCCAGAATATACTACTCTTTTAAACCAGGTTCTGGTGTTAAACATCCTTCTGCTATAACATGAAGAGCCATTATAATCTATGAGAGAAAATATTTCAAAGGAACACTGATGCCAAGTGAGCTAACACTATAGCTTATAGCTCAAAAGCGGGACGGAAGTCAAGGAACAGCAATGCAGCTCTAAAGTTAATCTTTGTTTTCCTCAACTGCTCTCATAAGTCATTTGAACAGGAAAAGGGGGGTAAGGACTAGGATAGCTCATAATGTATGTAATAAAGTTTAATGAAATGAGTTTTTCTAGTGGATGTAACTGTCACTTAATTTAAAGTTCTCAAATTCTACATTACCATTTGTTAGTATTTGTTCTGCTACTTCTCGTGACACTTTCCCATGAAACCAACAAATGTTGTCTTCTTTATTCATTATCATTAGCCTGTATGATCTACCCTGGAAAAATAAACCAAAAGTTGTACACAAATTATTTGTTATCTTTAGTCCAGACAACAGTTTGCTAGTCCAAAAACTCAGTCTTTACTCAATTCACTACCAGTACTTTCCTGTGAAAACTATATGACTGGCGACTTAGAAATCTTTTAAAAAAAATCTGGGTTTTGATAACTCGGAAAAGAATTTACCAATACATTTTTATAACAAATGTATTTTACTTCATACAGCTAACACATGGCGAACATGTTACAAATTATAATATAATGTAGTCTTGTAGATGGCTTTCCATCTTTAGGGTGAAGTCTTGGTAAGCACCCCACAGCTTCACACCCCAAAACCATGTTGGGATAACAGTCTGACATTTAAAAACACAACATCTGAGCGACTTTTAATGACACAAGTCATCTCTCAACTTTAATGTTTTCCTTTTTTACCACCATTAAAATTAACACGAAGAAGAAATCAGAGATAACCTCGCTATTCAAAAACAAACCTAACCTTACACTAATGCCCTTCCTTCTGACCACGTACGTTGTAGTCATACTGCGCTAGCCAGCCATAACACATATAATTAAAACAGAATAACTCTATCTTACACTTCAGTGACATAAAGAAAAGTGTTATAATGATTCATTTAGGTTTTTCATGTAGTCTACAGCAAAATTTCCCATCTTCTTTCACATCGTTTGTGTTACAAAAACTACTGTCACATTACTCGTACCGGATACAGACGAAGTGGTTTTTATGAACAGGAAACTATAATTACGCGTATTTGAAGACAACTAAATTTTTTTGTAATTCAGAATCGCTTATAATGAAACACAGTCTAGTACTTTAAAACTTAGAATATTTATAATGTTCAGAAATATATTTTATTTTAGACTTACCTTCGAGAGTAATAACTTGGTAACAAGTTTGAACATGATAATGCTATTGTTTTAACTTCTTACATTGTTACTATTGTTGTCTCATTTCGTGCCATCTCAAACTTCTTAAAATCTATCTGTATGCTTTTCCTCATAGTTGTATTCTAATCATTATCTTCTTCTAGGTGAATGTATTGTTTCCTTCGCTGCTTTAGTCTGCTTGATTCTATACATGGTTTACCTACCTACGTCTCAAAATCAAACGCGTGAATCAACGAGACCTTCAACATATCTTTGAACAGTGAATCATCCATTCGTCAACAAAGAGAAACGTGCTAGTTTACTGAATAACGATTACCTAGCCCTACAGTCGTTTTATCAGGTATGCGCATGAGTAACATCAGAGCTGAAGAAACGAATCAAGGTATCAACGGGCGGAAACGCATAGGGGAATAGAATGATGATGCTACGTTTATTTGGTGTACTAGCAGATCAAGAATTCTTTATTTTATTTTGTGCAAGAAGAAAGGGGCGAGCTTCTGTTCGGTTTGTTAGATTACCCATATCGCAGATGAGCAAATCACTTTCCACTCTAAATCTTAAAGAGGCACAAATATAGCAGCATTAAATGGTAACTTTTTTATTATTGGTGTGGAGATGTGTGCTCCAATTTGGAATACACGATTTCAATATTTATTCTCTGCAATTTTAGACCCCTCCCCCCACTGATTTTAATGCTCATTTATTACTGGCAAAGCTAATCAAGAGAGCAGATATTTACAACAATGTTATACGTTACAACATGTGAATTCTATGAAGATTTCACACTACAGAGATGATTTTGTTTCCTTTTATTCATTTAAATAAAAGTAAAGT